TAACAGGAATATATAGTAAAACAGAAAAGGATGAGTTTTGAATATTTACTATTGTTTAAACTGTATTTAATTGCGAGTTTGTACAGTTTACTTTTTTAAATGGTTGTGTCTAATAACTGGCTCATAGTTCCAGCCCACTACCATCCTGGCTCAACCTCTCTACCGGGCTCCCATCCCACATTACCACCTGCTCAACAACTCAGTGCAGACCTCTTCCATAAGAAACCACAAACTTAACATACTGAAGTCTAAAACACTTTCCTCTTTGAATCCCCTGGTACACACTTCTCTTCCCCTCTTGACTTCCCTATTTCTATTAATGGTGCTTCCAATGCTCATCGAATCAGTTGCTAAGTCTTGAAGACTCTGCCTGTGCAATGATCTTCTAATCTGCCTCCTCCTTTCCATGTCACTTGGGGTTACTGCCCAGGTCCAGACCAATTAACTGGCCTGTTCCCTTTAAGTGTTTTCTCAGTCCAATCTATCTGACATTATTGTTATATTAATCTTCCAAATGCACAGCTCTGACAATATAACAATATAGCTCTTCTATTCAACACACACACACACACACGCACACACACACACACACACACACACACACACACGACCTTCAAAGCTTTCCTTGTTCCAGGTAATTTGGACAGTTCCACTGTGCTTGGAACAAGTATGTACTTTCTGATTGTGTGCTTTTGCTCACATTTTCCCCTTCCTCTACAATTTTCTTCCCTCTTTTTGGAAAGACTCACACCTTTTATTTAAGACTCAGTTCAAATGGTAATAAAAAAATGTGAGTCGGTTGTCACGGGAATATACAAATGGATGAAGATTTGGAGAGTGGAAGCAAACAAGAAGTGTCAACTCCAGGAATTGTTTAAAGATTAAAAAGTTATTAAAAGGGCTGGGATTGTGGCTCAGTGGTACAGCGCCTGCCTAGCACATGTGAGGCACAGGGTTTGATCCTCAGCACCACATAAAAATAAATAAATAAAATAAAAATATTGCGTTAATCTACAAGTTAAAAAAAAATTAAAACCTTTTAAAAAAGTTATTAAAATGTATTTGATCATCATATCTTACAGAGGCTTTATGAAACATACCACTCTAAGGTAGGAATTATCCCATTGTTATTACTAAGAGGTTTGCTGGAAGCCAACATGAGATCTACCCCAAACCTATGGATTTCATTTATACATGCTACAGCTGTTCTTCATTAACTGAAATGATTAAGAATTGTCTGTACTTTAACCATTTGGCATTTACTGTAATTGTTTCCCTTCTAATGCTCTAAGCCAAATTGGGTTGAGGGGGTGGGAAGGGTAGGCGGTAGAGACATGGAGCCACTGAAGCCTAGGCTGACACCACCATTGAAAATACTTTTATCTTTAGGATGCTGATCACAGTCGTTAAACATCCACCACATGCCCAGGATTTCTCAGCAGTCAGAAGAGGCTAGAATTTTTATCTTTTATATGCCTTTCTTTCTTCAGGCCTTCTCCAATGTTTAGAGTAAAATAAAATGTTTCATGTACTGGCTTTTTGATGGGGAGAATTATGATCAGCAAATGATCAGGTGATTCCTTTTCCTTCAAAACTTCAAATATGGGACTGAAGTTCAGTAGTAAAGAAATGAGGAATGAGGTGCTGCAGTCCTATGGTTGCAGGCACCAACTTTCCAAGGGAGATTTTGAGTTGTGGACAGCCTGACTCCTTAGCTCAGGAGAGGTGAGAGGGAAAGGAAGGCAATGCAAAAAAATGGTAAAAGTATATCAAGACAGTTGCAGTTATCAATAAGGGGCCTGCAGATTTTTTTCCCCCATGATCACCATTTGAATATTTGTTAAAATGAAGATTTTATGGCTCCATGTGAGGCCTACTGAATCAGTTATTAAGGAGACAGCCTAGGACTGTAAATTTTTCATCGGACCACCCACTGATTCTGGTATACACTAAATTTCTTTTGTTGTTGTGTGTGTGTATGTGTGTGTGTGGGTATGTGTGTGTGTATGTGTGTGGTGTATAGGGGACTGAATCCCCAGGGTCTTATGCATGCTAGGTAACAGCTCTTCAACTGGGCTACATCCCCAGCTGGTACACAGCAAAGACTGAGAATCACTCTTCTGTTTCCAGCCAACTATGGCCTGCAGACTGAATACAACTTTCCAGTTAAAGATTGTTTTCAATTTTTAAAGGGTTGTGAGAAGAGGAAGAAGAAGTCAATAACAGACAAGAAAAGAAACAGAAGACTATGTAATATAGCCCACAAAGCCTAAATATCTAGCTCTTTAGAGAATATAAATATATAATATCTAGCTCTTTACAAAAAAGTTCTCTGACACAACCAGTGTGTCACCAGAAAAAGGCTATATCTGAATTTAGCCCCATTCCAGTTAAAATAATGATATAGCAGACCTTTAAAAAATATAGGAAGCAATGACATATATAAAATTGTTGCCAAACAATAAAAAATTTATAACAATTAAAAAGTAGGTGGAAATACATAAACACAGTTATAATGAGCACTCTGTAGTCTTTGAAAATATATTTTCATCCATACAATAATTTTGATAATGCCATTTGATTTTATCCTTCCATATATTTGTCAAATGACAATATATTAACCATTGAGTTAATATAGCAGAATACAACAGTTACTAGTATGGCATTATGTAAAAAGGTGAATGTGTAACCGATGTGATTCTGCAATCTGTATTTGGGGTAAAAATGGGAGTTCATAACTCACTTGAAACTAATGTTTGAAATATGATATGTCAAGAGCTTTGTAAGGTTTTGAACAACCAATAAAAAAAATATTGCATGTATATATTTACTGGACTATGCATGCACTCATGGTAGAAAAAATGTAAAATTTTTACTGTGATACATAAAACAATATCTGAGGAATAACAATATTATGAATTCTCTAAACAACCCATATGAAAATGATTCACAAAGGGAATAAAGACAAATTGAATTTAGTATCTTTCTACTTAAAAGGAGTTTTTAAATCATGAAGTAGTTTTACATATTAAGAATTCGGGAAAGAGACTATGAACTCAATTTAGGAAGGGTTCAGATACTCACATTATGTCCAAGAAGATCTGCAATAGGGAATAATGCCATTTAGATTCATAAAGTGATCCCAAAGTGAGAATGCAATTTCCTTAGGGGTAATTTTTAGATGTTKTGCCATTGATATTTTTTAAAGTTTAGTTTTCATGTGAAAAAGTTCATTATAGGTGGCACACACTTATAATCCAAACTACTTGGGAGGCTGAGTAGGAGGATCCCAAGTTCTAGGCCAGACTGGGCAACTTAGACTTTTAGCAACCTAGGGAGACCCTGTCCCCAAATAAGTAATGAGCAGGGGACATAACTCAGGGCTAGAGGGGTAGAAAAAGAAAAAAAGAAATAAAAAACATTTTTCATTACAGAATCTAGAAATAAATATTGGCCTTAAATAGTTATTTAAAGAGGGATGTCTTTTGGAATTATGAACTGAAATATCTTATTTTTTTTTCTCAGTGTTTTCCCCCCTCAGGAAGAAAAAAAATGTTAAAATTTTAGGCGCAACTAACATTTTAAAATAAAGAGGTAAACTGTGCAATAAATTTTAAGAAACAAAGCTTCAAACACTGAAGTCTTGAAACCTAGCAAGCTTCACCATTTAATAAAATTATGACTCATTTTAGTAAGAACATGCTTTTTTAGTAAGAAAAATGCTTTCTGAGCTAAGTTTGAACTGCTGGGGCACATGGGACACCCACAAACCCAGTCAGCAGAAGTCTCAAACTCCTAAAAGATTAAAGGAAAAATAAATTAGTGTGTGCAGAGAATGAAAAAAAAAATCCCCAATGGTACTCATCTATAAACAGAAGTAAAACTAAAACTCCCCTAAAATCCCCCAATCATCAATCCTTATAAACTCAGCACTCCTCTCTTTACTTCTTCAGGACCCCTTAGTTAAGCGAACASGAAAGTCTGCTGACTTGTAGCTGGTAAAATTGAGCCCTCAAATTACACTAAGCAGGGACACCGACCTCGGTAATCACAAAGTGTTTTAACATTCAAAACCACTCATGCAAGCGTAGGGTTTGCTGAATTTCGCGGGGGGCGGGCTGGCAGGAACCCAGTGGATTTTTTGCAGGTGTGTAATCAGTGTGATCCAGGRCGCGCGCACTAGGCAGGGGGCAGAGGTGAGTGGAGAGCGCTGCCTGGGCGGGGCGGAGTAGGTGGGGCCGGGCGTGTCCCGGGGTGAGAGAGAAGGGCATGTGACAATAGGACGGTGGCGTGTGGGCTGCAGGATCTGGGAGGGGAGTGAAAGCTGGTGGGGGAGTCCTATATGCAAGTGGCGACAGCTGCAGGCCTACTCGTATTTGTGTCCCTTGTCACTATCAAATTAAAGATGTTCTATTAAAAAATTATAAAGACCTAGCCAAACATTGGGGGGGGGGGACCTCCCATCCTCTATTCACTCACCACCCAATTCCCCTATCTCCAGACGGCTGCGTTTTAAATCCAGTCTAAAAATCCAACCCCCAATGTAAGAGTACTCCCACACCCTTTTCCACCCTCGCAACTGAGAGCGCTTCGAGCTCGGGTTCTCGTGTCCCGGAGCACCCACAATGGGGCTACCGTGGTGCAGCTGCCCAGGAGAAGGGGAGGCAGCATCAGCGGGACATGGCGCGGGCCAGCGTCGCCGTGGCCCGGGAGCGGGGTTTGCCCAAGAAAAGGCGCCGCCGCAGTCCCCGGTCGCCCCTCCCCGGGTTCTCGGCCCGCGCGCCTCCCGAACCTTGCGGCGCGCCAGGCGCAGCTCGGCGGCGCGAGAACCGGCTGGGAGCGGCGGCCCCTCCGGCCCAGCGCCCGCCGGCTGCAGCCAGGGCGACCGCGGAGGCGGCGGGCAGGGCGCGTGCGCACTGCAGGGGCGCCAGATTTGGCGGGAGGGGGAGTGTCCAAAGCTCTTTGTTTGATGGCATCTCTGTTTACAGAGTTTACACTTTAATATCAACCTGTTTCCTCCTCCTCCTTCTCCTCCTCCTTCGTGACCTCCTCCTCCTCCTCTTTCTCCTGAGAAACTTCGCCCCGGCAGTGCGGAGCGCTGCTGCGCAGCCGGGGAGGGACGCAGGCAAGGCGGCGGGCAGCGGGAGGCGGTAGCCGGTGCGTCCCCGCGGCTCTCGGCGGAGCCCCGCGCCCGCCGCGCCATGGCCCGGAGACCCCGGCACAGGTAACGGGGAGTCCATGAGGGCGGCCCAGGGCAGGGACGCGCGRGACACCGGGCGCCTAGGAGCAGGTGGGAATTGGTTCCCGGATCTTCTGTGGTGCTGTCAGAACCCGGGAGGACCCGGAGCCCCTTGCCTGGGCCGCAGAAGCGGCTGGAGAGACTGATGAATGGAAAAGTCTCTGCGGGAAATGCATCAGGACATTGGGAAGCACGCCCCGCGGCTCTTTTTGCAAGTTGCACGGGTATATGTTTCCCTTTGGGGGGGAAAAGAAGCTCGTTACAGCCGGGGTCAGAGCGGTGTCCACCAGCCAAGGGGAGCCCACCAGGTGCCTGGCGTGATGCCTTGAGTGTCGGCAAGAGAGTCGCAGCCTAATTGCTGGATGCATTGAGATATGTTTGGATTTGAAAGTGCAGAGCATATGGCAGATATAGGAAAATGCCGGATTGTTTAGTAGCTGCAGGTAGTTTATTTAAATTTCATTCATTCATTATGGAGGCACWGAAGAGTGTCAGCTGACAGGCGGCTGGAAAGAAGGTTTTAGGGGACGAAAAGGCTTTGCAAATTGTTATAAGCCCTGGTTGAAGGTTCGAATCATTATTCTCTGGAAGGTTTTTATTTCTACTGCAAACTGCACGCGCACCCACACGCGCTCGCGTTGCACATGTCACCGCACTTGGGAAGGCTGGTCAGGATGATGGGTGAAATGCCCTTACATTTTGACCCTACAGATGGAATGAGGGAGAGGAGGAGGGAAATACTCATAGGAACTGTCACTTGCTGGCGGTCCAGCCTCTACCAGCCCCGGGGATTTTCCAGACTCATCACGCCCGGGCTCCCTGAGAGAACAGGTTGCGGGGGCTGGCTCAGTGGCCATATAGTGGTCGCCACTCGGCCCAAAGGGACAGAGGCCCTCAGCACCAAGGCCGCTGCTGCGCACCTGGGATGCAATCCCCGCGGGCTCTTCTCCTGGGCAAGAGATCCCGAGGCAGTGCGCACACGTGGACGCGACTGAGGTCGCTGCTCCTGCCCGCGCCCTGCTGCAGCTGCCTTAAGTCTCTCGGCCTCCGCAAGGGCGATCGGACAGACCTTCGCGAAGGCGTTCTGGGAAAAATCCCGTGAAGGCAAAGCAAACCCGCCCGCTTTTCTTCGGGTTGTTTGATTTTCTCATACTTATTTGTTTTATGTACTGGTGGGCATTGGTCCTCCTGTGGCTCTGGAAGTTGCAACGAGCGTGGGCGTGAGCCCTGCAGCAGAACCTCGATGCTGGCTGGGGCCTGGAGCTACGCCTGTGCGTGCGTAGCTTGGAGTGGGAAGAAAAGGGGGTCGATACAGGTAAATCCCGGCCCCCTACCCCTCTCACGGGGGTCGACCTCGCGGGGCAAGGATGCCACCCCTTGAGGGGTTTCACCTTCGTTTTTTGGACTTCACAGGAAAGCAATCAAGCTCACCTGTTTTGTTGAGAGCAGAAACTAGCAATAGGAGGAGGGAGCTGGGAAGGGGTGCTGACCCGAGGCGCGCTCCAGGCTCCGCGCCCCAAGGTCTTGGCTGCCCCCGCTGGGCGGGGCTGCGCAGGTTCCCCGCGGCTCCCAGGTAGCCCGGAGGGGAGGGGCGGGAGCCTTGAACCTGGCTCGGGGGGAAGAGAAACCCGGCTGCGGGTTCCGAGCCGTTTCTTGCAGGGCGAGCGTCAACTCGGCAGGGATTATTAACCAGGTCAGCGAAATAGTCTGAACCCCTTTTCTAGAATCACAGTAGCGGCCACAAGGCACTTCCTCCCGCTCCCCTCCCTCTTCCCAACCCCCAGCGCTTCTTTTCTTTTTCGTTTCTTTGCACGGTTTGTTTCCTTGACAGAATGTAATATTCATAGTTGTACTCTTGTAACCACACCGGGTCTAGCAGGTGGAGGAGTCGAGTGCATCAAGCCTGAAATCAGCCTTTGAAAGTCCTTTGACTGTTGGGTCTGAGATCTTGTCAGAGCAGATAAAGGAAAAGTTATTTCAGGTCTTTAGCAGAAATTAATCATGCTACTGAGGCGGGCAGGACAATTTAGTGCAAGGAAATCAGATGCAAAGGTCAAAGCAGAGCCCCCGCGTGAAGCCTGCGGATAACAGTCCTGGTCTGGTCCCGCTGTCCTCATGGCCCTTGCAGAAGGCACATGCCACGTTTTCCCCCAAGACTTTGGTTTTGCACAGTTTTGCCTATTTGCTTAATTTTAAAGAGGCACAGAAGACATAGAGGTATCATTTATGCACGCTGGAAAGTACCTTAGAAATAGAATCCAAACCCTAATGTATAAGCGAGGAACCGAAGTCGCGAGAGAGAGGAAGTGATTTGGCCAAGTCACGCAGCTAGGCGGAGGCAGAACTAGGACTGACACCTTATCCTCCACAGAACTCTGGTCCTGTTTGATTCTAGTTCTTTCTCACCTGAGGTGGACTGCCCCCCTGTGGGCAGCTGAATATTTTGCTTGTTTCTAGACTGTTGTTGCCAAGGGATATGCCCAGTTAATGGTTTGGGAAATGTCCACAGTTCAGGTCTCCAGGTCTAGCCAAACCTAAAAAGTTAATTTGAGTTGAGCCTATGACTCTACTTTCAAATTCCTTTGGTTTTCTTGCTATCCATGATACTTCACAAGGAGCTACTTCATTTGATGGTTTTCTAAGGAGTTTACTACGAACCTTTCAAAAGAGGCAGACTTACAGCTCTGGGCTTATGTTAATTTTTTCTTTATAATACTGTATTTTATGTTAAAAGGAAATTCTTTTAATTGTTATTGACTTGTCAGTATTATTATTGTAATTATGGTTGATTGTTTACTCCCTCCTGTTTTCAGTATTAAACAATACACTCTTGTTTCAAAGGATAGAAACTAAATGGAAAAAAAAGACTAAGTAATGGGATTTGTGAGTGTGTGTGTGTGTGTGTGTGTGTATTGGTAGTTGTACTTGAAGTTTAGATCACATCTTGTCACCATGCAACCTGGATCATCAGATTATTTCTCAAAATAATAGTTTTAAACTATTAGAATCCCAACTCAGAGTTTTTGATGAGCACTTCTGCTTGACTTGTAGGGAGTTGGTAATTTATGCTTCTGAGTTAGGTAAGATAAAACCTGTTATGAATGTAAATTTCCTTTTTAAAAATAATTTGCATTATGATATTGCTTTTATCATAAAGCAATCAGTCTCAGTTTGATGGATTTCTCAATATTACAATGACAAATTTTAATGAAGTTTGTAAGGTAGTATAGCTTTTCATATCTTGTTTTATAAAGAAAATTATAGCTGAGAGTAAGCTATGAAATTACTCTCATCTCTTCGATATATGATAAATAAACTAAGTATAGAATTTTGTCAAAACTCATCAAAATTCATAGTTTTAGTCAACTAGTAAAGGGAAAACCTCTTTTGAAAACAATATTTTTTTTAACCCATAGATTTCTTCTGGGGGAATCCCTTACTTTTGAATTGGGTACATTTTAAGATATTTTAAACATCACTCAGTCAAAGATAGAAAAAATAAGAGTAAAAAAGATTCTGACTATTAAGTGGCCTAATTATTCACTCAGTTACTTTGGAAACTGAGTCATGTAAACATGGCCACAGTTGTGTCCTTCAGGCCCAGGGTTTTGAACAATTTGATATTTATGTTAGTGCCAAAACACTTTGATCACTTGATGGTCTTATCCTTTCTCAGGCTTTAAAATGCTTTCCTCTTACCTTCTCCTAAGCTTCTCATCTTAAGGAATGACTATAATTATATTATTGGATATATTATTTCTTGAATTTTTATTGTAATAAAATGCCAGCCCTGTTGGAATAGCATAAGTGATTTGTTTGTTGTATTTGGGAGATATTACTTAAATGATGTGACATATCCCAGAGATTTTGAGAGTGCACTTATATAAAGGACACGGGTTCTTATTCTTTTTCTTGTCTTAACATTAAGTTTTAAATTTAAACCTTCATTGGTTGGAAGGTTGCCAAATGTGTAACTTGTCACTGATCTAACAATAAGTGCAGGTCCAAACATGCAGAGCAGTAAGACAGTGCCAGGTCCTTTGCCGTATCTGTGGATACCAATAACAGCAGAACCAGTTTACAATACTACAGCAACAGAACGCAGAAAACAATCTTGTTGTGCAAGTTTCCAAAGTTTCATCTTCATAACCTTTGAAAAGCTTGTTGAGGAGTTTTTATGTAAGTTTTGTAATCCAGTAGTTTAAATCCTCTTGTTTCAGCCCAAGTCTGCCATTCTTATTTCTGCAGCATATACAGTAGTGACGAGGATGATGAAGACATTGAAATGTGTGACCATGACTATGATGGGCTGCTTCCCAAGTCTGGAAAGCGTCACTTAGGGAAAACTAGGTGGACCAGGGAAGAGGTAAATAATCATATTATCAAAGCATGAAAAAAAATGGTAGTGTATAATTTGTGAACAACAAAAGTCCAGCTCAACTCCAGGTGTTACAGCTCATTAGGAGGCTCTTTGAAAGCTCAGCCTTGACTGCTTATGTCCCCCACTCATCCACGTGTCCTCTCCTTTCTCCTTTGTGCTCCATCTGTTTCCCTCTGCCTATCCAGTTCTCGCTCTTGAGTCCCACCACTTCCTACCATTTCTTCATTAATTACAAAGATATGGCCACTCTGTGAAGCCATCCTTGGCTTCCTCCAAGAGGGCTGGAAGCATCCTCCTGCATTTCTCTGCCCTGGGGTATAGGTTCTGCCTTAGTGTTGATGTGATAGCTACATCTCTCCCAGGAGACTGCAAGCCTCTTGAGGATAGGGCTAAACATCACTATCTTTGTATTTCCTGAACCCAGAATTACTCACTGCAAAGTAGGATGTTAATAATACTCCCTAAATAAATGAATGAATTGCTATTTCCAAAACCAAAACAAGGAATAAAACAAAACATGTATAGAACTTACCCCTTTATATTATATTCATTTAATACTCTTGGTATTAATCTTTCACAGATCCATATATGGGTATGAATGTTTGCTCTAAAACCATCCATCCAGCAATGGGTAGAAAGACCACTGTTCCCCACATTTCTTTTTCTGCTAGTTTATCAAAAGCTTAATCCTTTCAAGAAAGGAAAAGTTCTTCTGAAGCTAAATTATTAAGGTGTGAGGAAACGTTTCTTTGAAACGTTTTCAAAAATATTGAAATTTTTTTTAATATTCTCCAAAAAATTGCCACGGATCATAGAAGATTTAATTTAAATATAAGTTATATTAACTCTCTTCAATTTCATTGCATTCTGCTTCATTTAAACCAGAGTACCTTTGGACAGACAGACAGGATTCCCAGGAGACACATGGGAAATTCATATTTTACCTGTAGAGATTGTGCACCTAGGATGATCATTAGGGAAATAGAAGTTCTGTTGTTAACCTGGTTCCTGGTTGTGTCTCTATTGTACCAGGGACCTGTATTGTGAATGGATGTTACCTTTGCAGAAACATAAAAAGCACATTGAGAACGACTCTTATGAAGTGATGGGACAGTGAATAGTACATGAACTGAAAGAAGCAATTTTTCATGAATGTTTTAGTGTCTTCTGTGTTCTAATATGTTTTGGCCTCATTTAAAACTGCATATATTGATAACAAGAACTAAATTATTTTATTACATTATATATGCATTCAAGTTTAAGAATCAAAAAAGTTATCTTCTATTTTTTTAACATATGAAAGAGATTGAACCAACTGGAAATATTCTATTTTTTTATTCAAGATCTTATCTATTATCATAGTTCAATGGCTACTGAGTCTAATATTGAAATTTATTTCTTCATCATTAAGTAAAACTTCTAACAGTTGTCATATATTATGCACTGAATAGGTGCCTGGGATTATTATAAATGTTTTGCATAATTACCCTGTGTAATCCCCAAACAATCCTATTGATCTCAGCATTCCCATTTTATAGATAACAATACTAAGGTCTGAAAAGGTAAAATAATACATGCAACTGGTACACCTAATCAATAGCTGAGCCAAAATAAAAACTCTAGTCTGACCCTAAATAAATCTCTGCTCTAGACCAGTATAATTTATTTTCTGTATTTGGATACTTTGAGTAGGGTTTTTTTTCCCCCTGAATCCTAGCATTAATTCTGTTGTTCAGTAGAACTTGAGCAGAGTTATTCAGTAAATGACTGATACCCTAGGATTATCTTTAAATGTCCTAGGATGAAAAACTCAAGAAGCTGGTGGAACAGAATGGAACAGATGACTGGAAAGTCATTGCCAATTATCTCCCGGTAAGTTAGTGATTTATTCTCTTTGTAATAGAAAAGTTCCTCCTAAAGATTTAAATAAAATATTCTTATAGAAGCTATTAAGATATCACATATTGCCGGTATATAAGAAGTAGGGGGAGAGATGCCCCTCTCATCATTTACATTTTATAATGCATGTTTTTGGGGTTTCTAAATAAATTTTAAAACATTTCTACAACATCTTAAACAAGTACTTCTTGCTTATCTTTGATTTCTTGAGATAATATAAATTAATGTTCTCATGATTTGTTAAGTAGTAGATGATTAAACTTGATATTTTTTCCTGTTCAGCTTCTGAATTCCCCATTTTTGTAAATAGCCATATGTTGGTACTCAGGTTTGAAATGCTAGGATATTTTTTACTTATCCCATTCCATTGTCCCTTATGTCTAAACAGTTATGAAGGAAGCTGGAATTCCTTGGTAGTCTCTCTTATCCTTTACATTCCATGGTTGGGTCACAAGTTAGGCCTTCTGTTTTCTCATCTGGGCTATTCCAATGGCTTCCCCACTTGTAGCTTTCCATTTTTTTCTCCATCCCAAACACTATTGACAAATCGGGCTTCCTAAAATGCATATGTATCTTATCTTCTCAAAAACAACAATAGTAATTGGAGGTGTAGCTCAGTAGCAGAGCACTCGCCCAGTATGTGCAAGACTCTGGGTTTAACCCTTAACATCACAAACAAAACAAAACCAAAACCCACCAATGGTGACTTACAGTCTTACAAACTAAGTAAACTGCTTTGACCTGATACAGAGAAGTCCCCCTACATAGCCCCAACTTATAGCTCCCATGCTGTTTCCTACTTCCTCTCCATAAGCTCATTTGGTAGAATTCATTTCTGCTTTCCTCCTCTGGAATTTTGATCCTTTCAGTCTCACCTCCTAGAATGTTCTCCTTTTCCTTCTCCAGTCAAAAGTTCTGACCATCCTCCAACGTCCACATCCAGAGCTCTTTTGGATTCCTTTCCTTAGAAGGAATTTCTCCTCCTAAGGGAATGCTTTACTGCCCACCTCTATGGCACTTTGCTTTGCATCTCTCCTTGCATATGAATTGAATTCAGCCTTCTGTTATAATTAATTATATATTTGCCTTTTTCTTCATGTAAGATTGCAAGGTCCTATGAAGTAGGCCTACCTTTTATCATCTTTGTTCCTTCCACAATATAATTTCTTGTGCTCCTGAATGCACATCTCTTAGTTTGGGAAGCAAACTTTATTATATTCCTTACTGGCGGGTTTCCATTGAAGTCTGGACAAAATGGAATTTCTAAGAAGTCTGTAACTATATAGGTTACTTCACAAGCCACAGACTGAGGTCAAGGTTAAGTTAAATTGACAGGCACAGGAGGCAAAGCTTCTAATTTTATATGCAAGTTTGATGTATTCTGTACATTCTTTAGCCTGTAAGTACTGAGGGAAAGGTGGGCTCTCTACACATGCCTTAAGGTGTTCTTGAATGTTTTCATTGCATATTTTCTCTGTATGACTCATATTAAGCAAAGTCTTCACATGCATATGGTGTTCTATCTTTATGATGGTGCATACTTTGTCTAGAATCGGACAGACGTGCAGTGCCAACACCGATGGCAGAAAGTGCTAAACCCTGAACTCATCAAGGGTCCTTGGACCAAAGAAGAAGATCAGAGAGTAAGTTTTGTTTTCATGTATGTGTGCATTAAAATTAAGAATATTCCCCAGACATCTTTGTTGGATGTTTCCCCAGCCAAGGAAGCAGGTAAAGTGAGCAAACAGGAAGTAAAGGACTCTGGTCCCATATTTCCAATGAATGAAAGCAGACTTTTAGAAGTTTTCTAAAGAACTTGTAACACTGAAGAATGATTAATGACTCATTACATAACATTAAAACACAGGTTATTTTTGTGTGTTTATCTGAAGGTGATAGAACTTGTACAGAAATACGGTCCGAAACGTTGGTCTGTTATTGCCAAGCACTTAAAAGGGAGAATTGGAAAACAATGTAGGGAGAGGTGGCATAACCACTTGAATCCAGAAGTTAAGAAAACCTCCTGGACAGAAGAGGAAGACAGAATTATTTACCAGGCACACAAGAGACTGGGGAACAGATGGGCAGAAATCGCAAAGCTACTGCCTGGACGGTAATACTATGTCAAAAAATATATTGATTGGGAAGAATGAAGGAGCGGGATTCTAACATTCTGTTTTAAGTGTATGAACAAATTACATACCATCAATCATGTTTTATTTAGAACCAGAAAATATCCTATAGTTTATCTAGTAGAGGACGTTTAGGATCCAGCCAGTGGTGAGCCTTGGGCTAAATCTTTGAACTTTACTTAGCCGTGGTTTCCCCATTTGCAAAAATAAGTAATAATCTATATCACAGAGCCAATGTTAGGATCAAAGTAAAATAAATGTCAGAGCACTTTGTAAACTGAAGAGCTCTAAACACAGAAGGAAACTAAAGGTAGACAGTCTATTGTTGATCTGAGTTCACTCAGCCAGTTTAGTGACTGGCTACCATTTTGGTAGTTGCTCAGCTATTATTTTCCAAATACCTGGCTTCACTTCATTATGCCACATGATTAACTTTTTTTTTACTTTGAATAAAGAAATAATGTATTTCTAGAGTTATCATACTTTTTCCAGGTCTTAAAATAATGTCTATATAATGCTTTTTTTTCAGTGAACAAGGCAAGAAAATGATCTTATATTTATGAGGAATGACTATGGAAGCTCATTTTTGTCCCATGTTCCTCCCTTAAGTAATATATAACTGAATTTTCTTACTTTGGAAAATACTTTTTACTATGGATTTTAAGGTAGAAAATATTAAAGATTTTTTATTTTTGAGCTTTTTAATATAAAAATGGAGAAAGGGTAATTTCAAAAATGAATTATGCTGTGGTTTCTTGTGATGCTCCAAAGCATTTCCTCCCTCAGGGTTTAGTAAAAGCTTAGAAAATTCAAGAGATTTGTCAAAGGTGGCCTTTTCTCCCCTATGGAGGATATACTATTGCCTCTTCTAAAAATTAAAGGGGTGATCCAACTTCCTCTTACTTTATCACACATTCCCTCACCCCCATGGAATTAGGGAAAGGTAGTCTTAAAATGGTTTTTTGGGTTTGGGTTTTTTTTTTCTTTTTTTCTTTTTTTGAATTGAGAAACTTCCTGAGAGTTTGAAAATATCCACGAGTTATCATTTTTCCCTTTTTTCCTTTCCTTTCACCTCTGTCTGGCTGTAAGAACAGTGGATGCTTTTCAAAAGGTAGGAAGGGTTTTTGACTCAAAATTTCTCACTAGTAATATAAGAGCTAAAGAGTAGACACTGAGACAGCGTCTTTGTCATTCCCAAACACTCCCAAGTCCCTAATTTTTGTGGTGGGTAGGCCCTGCTAAGCCATTCTTGAAGGAGTCATTGTTTTAGGACAGCTAGAACTTTTAGGTTGTATTAGAGTCTTGTACCACAAATGGTCAGGATCAACACTGAAAGGTTATCGTGTTGAAAAATACTCCTTTACCTCAGTCACAAAATGATGAAAAGATACCAGAGTTTATGGAAAGCTCCATACATTCTAGATTAAATAAATAAGAGAAATCTATGGATTTTTAAATTTGGCTGCAGGGAAAGCAAGATTTTAGCAGGTGGAAAAGAGCGAAACAATTAAAAAGAGAAAACAACTGTTGGTGGAACCAAAGTAAAGATTTCTGTTAGAAACAGTTTTCTGTCAATTAACTCTAATCTGAATTGAAATTTTTGTTTGTAAAATTTTTATATGCTATATTTCTGTGCAGAACTGATAATGCTATCAAGAACCACTGGAATTCTACAATGCGTAGGAAGGTGGAACAGGAAGGTTATCTGCAGGAGTCTTCTAAAGCCAGCCAGCCAACAGTGGCCACAGGCTTCCAGAAAAACAATCACTTGATGAGTTTTGCTCATGCCCCACCTTCATCTCAACTCCCTCCAACTGGCCAGCCCTCAGTCAGCAATGACTATTCCTATTACCAAATTTCCGAAGCACAAAACGTAAGCCATTCCTGAGAATTTACTTTAGTGAAAGACATGGTTATTTTAGCTACCGATAATAATAATACTTGTGGTTATATTGTTTTCAAAGAGCTTTCCTAGACATAAACTAAGATCAATCTTCACCTATACCCCTTGAAATAGATCAGGGTAAATATGGGTATCCCTGAGTCATGTGTCTAGAAATGAGATGGTTAAGTGATTCTGTCCAGGATTACGAATCATGGTAGTGCCAGCTAGAATCCAAGTTGTTTGATTCTAACTCACTACTTCAATTCTAATTTAAAATCAGAGTTTGGATGTAAATTTTCTTAAAGTATTGCTGAAGAAGAATGGGGGAAGGGAAAGATACATTTATAGTCTAATATTTTTCTCTTCCAAAATGAAAAGTGAATGTAATATTACATTTGGAGAGAAAATAGCTTGGCACCAATGGACAGGTTGTTAATTCTGGTAGTGATCTAGCCAAAATGCAGTTATTGATTCAGTAAACGTTTACATTTTTACTCTGATTCAAGAGCAGAGCTTTATGGCATTGATAATCCAATGTTCCCTTTTATCTTTCTTTGGATTGGTGTGATTCCTTCCTCATTTCTAGACATTTATATGTATGGAAAGAAAGGATTTTTAGTGAGTGGAAAAGAAGAAAAATCAAGGAATGTTAATCTTTGAACTAACAATAATAAATGATGAAATTTATCCAAGAATACAAACCTCATATGCAAATATTAGGCAAAACATATTCATGAGTAGTTTTTACTCTTCTTTCTCTGTTCCATGGATTTCACTACAGACTTTCCAGAAAGGTCTCAGGTGAATGGATTATCATAAGAGGTTTTGTGCTTTTTATCAAAACATCATAATTATTCTCAGAAAAATATTTTGTTGCAAGCAGCTAGTACCATCTCCTTTTCCCATGAAAACATTACATACATTCACAAATGTATTTTAGGTTATATTTCCATCATGTTTTTTTTCTCTAAGGAATGCTTCCTGTTGGGACTGATGAGCACCTTAAATTTCTTTCATTGTATTGCTTTAGCTGTTCAGCCATTTTTAAAAGGCCTGGCTAAACTTCAAATTAAACGAGGTTTTTTGTTGTTATTTAATTGTTTAGAGAATTTTATCAGTAGAGTACTTTTTCCCCTTCAGTCCCAGAATAAAACCTCAGGAAGTCAAATCCCCTGAAGCATATGTAACCATGAATGACTTGGCCTTTGTTTTCCCTTTTTTGATCTAGGTCTCCAGTCATGTTCCATATCCTGTAGCTTTACATGTAAATATAGTTAATGTTCCTCAGCCAGCTGCTGCAGCCATTCAGGTAAGATTCTCTTATAAAGAAACTCATTATCTGGGCAAGGCAGTGCTTTTAAGAAATGCTTTATTTCTTTTATGTTAGACACTTATTTTCACCTGAGCAGCTGAAGTAAAAAGAAAAGGGAATAGTAGAGAGGAAGGTAAAGTTCAGGCCAACAATCTACCAATCTTGGCTTCTTGGAGGGTTTGTTCTGGAGGGTTTTCTGATGTTCATTGTTACAAGTTGAAACAATTCATTAGGCAGCATCCACTCTATAGCCTCAGATTTCCCATCACTACCTTAAGTTTGAAATCTCATTCAGAAAGATTTCTGTAGTGGAAATATTTGACTTGTCTTGGTTTTACACTGAGGCTCCTTGGGCTGTGTGGTGGTACCTTAAGACTCCAGGCTACAACTACTTTCCAATCAGACCTTTGCTTCCCCTCCCCTTAACTTCTAATTTCAGAGACACTATAACGATGAAGACCCTGAGAAAGAAAAACGAATAAAGGAATTAGAGTTGCTCCTAATGTCAACTGAGAATGAGCTCAAAGGACAGCAGGCATTACCCGTAAGAATGTCACTACGTACTTGGGGGGATGGTTTGCAGCTTTACCCCAATACTCTTCTGTATCCTTTTTCTTCTCTTCTAAATATTACCCCAGCCACAATTCTATATATCAGTTAACTATGTTCAAACAGAAGTAGTTGATAGTAAAAAAAAAAAAATACTCTTGGTATCAGAATGTGTATTAACTATGTAATGCACTCCACCATTGTCATGTATGTAAAAAATAAATTTAAAAAAGAAAGAAAAAAAGAATGTGTATTAACTAAATTGGAAGTAGTCTTTTTGTATTACAGTAGAAACAAAATTCATTTGTGCTTTTCATCAAGCCATTTTTTTCTCCAGGACTGACTGTAATCAGTTTAAAGATTAGCAAGGATAAAATAAAAGAAGTGCTACATTTTTTTTTTTTTTACAAAGCTTTGTACTATATGCTATTTGTTTAACTTTTTTTCTTTTTCTCTCACTTTCTTAATCTGTCCTTGTTTTATAATTGCAAACATGATTTGATGTACATTCAGTATTACATGTAAAAAGATTTATATATATTTTATATACTTATTATTAAATATATATTTATTATATTTTATTTTATATACATATTTTTATATGTATAGATGTAAAACACTGATGCATAAATAACACTGCTCTCTTTTGTTTGCATGCATGAAAGTTGTGTGGATCATTACTGAATTGTGATATCTTTTTTAATAATTGGGCAGCAAACTGAGAAAGCAGCTTGTACTTTGTAACAAATCTATTTAGCCAACAAAGTGAATAAAAGAGAAGTGATACCTAGTAGGTATTCTTAGGGGTTAATTTCTTTTTTGTTAAATAATAAAATGATTATGTGCACATGTTAGTTTGACCACTCAACCACTTTTTAACTTTAATGTTTTGCAATTTCTCCTGTTGCGTGGTCATGCTGAAAGGAGACTTCTGTTAATTTGCTCTTCTGCTTTCCTAACCACGCTGATTTGGCAGCCCTTCACTGCCTCGGTGCAGTCTACATCCTTAGAAAGGGATAGAAGCATCAGGAACATGTACACAGAAAAGCAACTCAACCTCTTGAGTTCTCTAGCTTTTTAGTAGGTTAGAATGCAAATCAGACAATTCTTAACTCAAAGCAAACATTGATGGACCTTTTGCGAATTGTGTTCAAGTTGATTTCCTAAGACAGTCAGTATGAAAACTTTGTACTTTGTAGCATAGTTTGAAGTTTTAACAAAATGATAACAATGAAGGTAACCACATAAGCATAAACTCTAGTACTGTTAAAAAGCAGGGGCTTGCATTGACAAAAAGGAAACATCTTGACAACTGTTTCATAGGCATAAGTTTTGGATGATGCAACTACTTTTATCTTTCCTCCAACAGCATCAGATACCTTGTGCAACATCATTGCTTTAAGTTCCTTCTTCCTTTCTTTTCCCCCACTTTTTCTTTATTTCTACACTCACCCCACCCCCCTTCCTCAGACACAGAACCACACATGCAGCTACCCAGGGTGGCACAGCACCTCCATTGTCGACCACACCAGACCTCATGGAGACAGTGCACCTGTTTCCTGTTTGGGGGAACACCACTCCACTCCATCTCTGCCAGTGGATCCCAGCTCCCTACCTGAAGAAAGTGCCTCGCCAGCAAGGTGCATGATCGTCCACCAGGGTACCATTCTGGATAATGTTAAGAACCTCTTAGAAGTTGCAGAAACACTCCAATTTATAGATTCTGTAAGTAGAATTACTAAGGCAAGTTAATGTTTCTGGAAGGGATTTAGAAAACTCATTTCATAACTCTTTGCCGTTTTCTATAGTAAATGTTATTGGTCTCAATTCATGTATAGGTAAACGTATGAATTTAGACTTAACAAATATATTTTTGCAGAGGTCTCATATCATACCCTACCAAGACAAAAGGCAGCTGTTAAACTTTTCCTTCAAAAGGCATATTTWAAAAAAAATAAAGCTTATAAAGTAGGACTCCAGCTATCCTTCAAAGAACATATTTAAAAATAATAATAATAAAAAAGCCAATGACTTATAAAGCAGAACTCCAGCTATGGAATTGGTGTTTGAGTTACTTTTAAAGGATCTTTTATTTTGCTTACTTCTTTGTGCTTCTCTAGAATATTGCTTTGCTTTTGGATAGCATATTAAGAATTATGTTTACTGGGAACTTAAAGCAATCTTCCAGTGTATTTGAAATAATCAGTTCATTGGTAGATGTGGCTTTCTGTATAAAATATCGAACATTAATTATCCGTCCCATTGGTTCACCAAGATAAATCATTCTTAGTGAAACAAAACTGGAGTTCAGCCCCCACTCAGCAGACACTCACTTCATTTCCTGGGTTTCCTAGTTGGTTAAAAAACATTTATTGTGTACTTGCTGGAAAGGGCATGGATATCGCCACTGTGTGCCTTCTAGAAAGGTTTTCTCTTTGCTCTATATTGCATGTAAATGATAGGATGTCAGGAGCTCCCCACAGCACATCTGTAGGACTAACCTCGAGCAGTTCCCGAACCCCTCTAATGCAGGGTGACAAACAACTGTTACCCTTGCTGCTGGAAAAAGTTCACCATATGGGCCCCAGGTTTTCTGTGCACTTAGCATGTCTTTCTCAGTGCTGTTTCAGGTGATGATGGCACACAACTTGCACACACTGTCTCAGAGTTCTGTGCCTCCCACATTGTTTCAGGATTCTTCATCATGGTGTGATCTCAGCAGTTTTGAATTCTCTGAAGAAGCAGCTTTTCCACCTAGCCAGCATTCCGCAGGCAAAGACCTCCAGCTTCAGCAAAGAGAGGGCAATGGGAATAGCCCTGCAGGAGAGCCTAACCCGAGGGTGAACAACCCTCCCAAGGCTTTACCTCCTGCAAAGCATAGCACAATTCCACTGGTCATCCTTCGAAAAAAGCGGGGCCAGGCCAGCCCCTTAGCCACTGGAGACTCTAGCTCCTTCCTATTTGCTGACGTCAGCAGTGCAAGTCCCAAGCGTTCCCCTGTCAAAAGCCTGCCCTTCTCTCCCTCGCAGGTAGCACACAATTTCTGCACAGCTGTTACTAATTTGCAACAGACACCTGAGCCTTAATAATCTAGAAACTAATCCTTTGGAACAAATGACTACTGCTGCCCTTGCTGATTTCATTCTGGCACTGAATCTAGCTGTGGCTGAGACCTGTTGCCTCTCAGAGTCTAGGCTGGCTGCAGGCTAGCTGATGGTTTTGTCCTGATTCTCTCTTTTACTTTATTTGGAAGATAGTTTGCATGGGATATGCTTTTATTTCCTTCTACCCTAGAATTTAGCATTTCTGTCTCTTTCTCTAGTCCTGTGTGATCCCTTTCTTTTAAAATATTAACATGTTTTCTGCCTCTTTGTTCATTTGTCATTATGTGATTCACTGACCCCAGAAAGGAAGGAACCAAATTATGAAAACATACCATTTGGGTTGCAACTGGAAATTTAGATTCCAATCTGTCTTTGAGTGGGAAGGTGGAGGGAGAGGATGAGGAACAAACGCTTAAGGAAAATTTAAAATTTTCATCATTGGCTCTTTTGAGTTGTGTCATATTTTACTAGTGAAGTTTTGGCCAAATATTCTCATTTCATATAGTGTTTCTAAGGCATAGAAATTATAATCTTTATCAGACACTTGTGTTCCTAAATTATTAAAATAATTGAAATTAATAGATAATCTGGCACTTTAAAATGTTTTTCCAATTTTTTCTGTTGAGTTTGTTTGGAGAACAGCTTTAAGTATAAACAAATGATACCTCCACCAAAAAAATATATGTGTACATACATATGTATATACATACATATTTGTATATAAGTATATATATGTACACATATGTATATATATGTACATATCTGTGTGTGTGTATATATATATTTTTTTTTGGGGGGGGGGTTTGTCTGTATTTTCCAAGCAGTGTTATGCAGAATGTTAGTTCTGCAACATTTTAATAGGTGATGATCCAGAAAAAAAGTCTAAGTATATAGGTATGTACATCTGAGAAACATGGACTCAAAGTTAAAAACGGTTTCTTTACACAAGTACCCTAAGTTAGTTTGTTGTCATCACTATTTTTTGTTTTGTTTTGTTTGTTTTTTGGTTTTGAGACAGGGTCTCATAAGTTGCCTAAGCTCCTGTACCCAAGTGGTCCTACCTCAGCCTCCTGACTATTAGAAGAAATACTTTATAAACTTTTTAATGTTAGTAAAGAGCATGTCTCATTTTCTTGAATCGCAAGTGTCTTTTATTGATAATATTTTCTTAGGATTTTGCAAGTTTTTCAGTATTGACCCTAGTTTTATTTTGGATGCTCAATTGAAGTAAATTAATACCCTCTTCAACACCAGATGATTGTTAATATCTATTATTTTGCATAGTGGGTCAGTAAACCATACTTGCTTATTATCTAGGTGTGATTTTGAAGTTGGGCTGAGTAGAGAATCACTGTTTAATCTAAGTAGTTCTTTTCTCTCTCTCCTGTGTTTAGTTTTTAAACACTTCCAGTAACCATGAAAGCTTAGACTTGGAAACACCTTCTTTAACTTCCACCCCTCTCAATGGTTACAAATTGACTGTTACAACACCGTTTCATAGAGACCAGACTGTGAAAACTCAAAAGGAAAACACCATGTAAGTTCTTGGGTCAAGAAAAAAGTATTTATTTATCTTGGTTATAACTAATTAATGGAATATAACCCCCAACTATCTGATATATTTGTATGTAAGTAATTTTGCTAGTGTATTTATATGTATTAAAAATATTACCTATTCCCAGACAGAATATGTCTGTCCTAGGAATGTTAGAACTAACTAGAAGTAGAAGCTGGGATAATAAACAAAATTGCCTTTTATAGTTCACTCCAATTTCTGTATATGAAGAGGCAGTTTTAATAAAATGTTTCCATCTAGTTTGTTTGTTCATTCAGTCCCTACTGAATTTTTCTCTCACTGAAAAAGATTTTCAGCCTTCTTTCTTCTCTGATTATAAGCTTCAAAATAAGATTGATCGTGGTTCTTTACATAGTTTGTATTTTTAATCTTAAATTTTCTCTGACATCTTCAGAAATATCATATGATTAAAAGCCAAGGTGTGATTAAACAATCATTTTTATTTGATGAAGGCTTAACCTATTCAAATAAATGGAAGAGAAAATCAGTTTGAATTATAAGAAACCTTTGAAGGAAATCCATTCTTATTACTTTCAAATACAAAAAAATAAATTTTAAAAGGTTAACATGTTTTCTAGTGTGAATCTCCTTTTAATGAATAGATAAATTGATTTGTCAATGACATCAGATATGGCAAGGTTTATTATAGTTATTATATAGATTGAGGGCATTTTCCCATATCCTCTGAAACATTAAGGAAAGATAATATTTTAGCACTTTTAGTCTTAAGACTTTATAATATTTTGAAATATTATATACTATTATTATATAATATTATATATTATATATATAATATTTTGACCATATGTCTACTATTATCTTCTCCCTAGTGAATGTATATGATTTATAAACATATCCAATTCCATATCAGTGGTAGAGTTTWTTGTGTTTATTGGAAAAAAATTAAATTTGATAGATAAAACAAAGTGATGAGCATCACATTTCTTTTATATTAAGCCACTGCTTGTTCTCTTTTTTAAAGGTTTAGAACTCCAGCTATCAAAAGGTCAATCCTAGAAAGCTCGCCAAGAACACCCACACCTTTCAAACATGCACTTGCAGCTCAAGAAATTAAATATGGTCCCCTGAAGATGCTAGTAAGTTTTGGAAAAGTCCTTGAGTGTAGTTGACTTATTAGCATAGATAGGAATTTTCCTCTGATGCAAAAATGTCCACTCTTCCCTACAGCCTCAGACATCGTCTCATCTAGTAGAAGATCTACAGGATGTGATCAAACAAGAGTCGGATGAATCTGGCATTGTTGCTGAGTTTCAAGAGAATGGCCCACCTTTACTGAAGAAAATCAAACAGGAGGTAAGTATAAGACCCTGTGGAAGGAACAAGCTGTGACTCCTGCTGCCTTTGTTCTTTCGTGCATTTTGATGTGCCTGGCCTCRATGCTGTGCAACAGCACCACTTCTCAATGTAAGATTTTCATACAAGATGCATTCAAAAGGTACTGCCAGACTGTAGGCAGCAACCTTTCGTTTGGAAAGCCACACCACTTCTATCAACTTCATATTGGGATAGAGAAGATGCTAGGATAAGGGAAAAAGAGGGCAGAAGCTTTTTATTATACTTAAAAATATAGATAGATGATAAATATTCCATTTTCTCTCTCCCTTTTTTAAGGGAATAAGAACAGTTTATTCTGAGCCAAATATGAATGACTGTCACTGGGAACACAAATTCAAGTTACCCTGAATGACATATTCCCTCAYTTTCTGAGACGATAGAAAAATAGGAATTCACATTCAAATGGTAGTATTTTTAATTCATGTATTATAGAAGAAAGGAGATGTAACCTGCAAAGATCAAAGTAGCTTTTTGGCAAGAGGCATCTCTTAACAAGTTGGATAATTTGCCTCTTGGAYTTATTTTCATGCAGGGTTGAATGTTTAAGAGACTGACCAGAAATTTACTACTGAGAATAAATACTTCATGAAAGTAGTACTGGTAGAAATGACAAGCACTTGCTGTTTGCTTTTAGGTAGAATCTCCAACTGATAAAGCGGGACACTTCTTCTGCTCAAGCCACTGGGAAGGGGACAGTCTGAATGCTCAACTGTTCACACAGGCATCACCTGTGGCAGAGGCACCACCAGTAAGTACCCCTGCACCAGTGCCCAAGTTGCTCCACTAGTGACTCAGAATCCTATGTGTGGTATGTTGGGCCATTGTGGTTTCAATACTCACTCTTTAGTGCATCTGGTTTCAAAACAGCCTCTCATGCATTTAAAAAAAAATGATTATTAATGTTAGAATATAAAGTTGAAATTTTTATTTATGTATTCAAAACAGATTCTGTCTATATTGTTTAGTGGATAAAGACCACAATAGTCTGTACATATCAGTATRTGTGGATTTTCTTCCCAAGGTTTGGTTGCTGAATACATGGGTGCATAGGGCCAACAGGATTGCCTTGCCTTGGCTCCATCATTTTTCCAGTTTACTATTAGTGAATAGTGCCCTTATATCTTATGGAGAATCTAAGCAAACAATAATTACTAATACTTATTCAGTATGTATTAAGTGGTGAGTCCTAATCTAATGACTTTAGATGAGTTAATTCATGTAATCCTTGCAGTAACCCTGTAAGATTGATAACATTATCACTTCCATTATAGCAACTAGAAAATTTGGTATCTTAGTCATTTATTCAAGTTTATATTCCTCATGGGGCTGGTACTGGATTAGAACTCTAAAAATGTGGCTCTAAATTCTAAAAATCCATAGAAGTGTGGCTTTTTGTCATTGAACTATACTGCCTTTAATACAGCTATAAAATATTTCTGTCCCAGTATATGAAATAAACAATCCATATCCAAGAGYTTAGAATATCCTTTAGTTTTAAAAGCATGGACTTATGAATTCATTTAGAAGATGGATTTTAAGTGCATACCCCATGCTTAGAATAAGATGGGACCCAAAGCTTTTTGGGTTCTGGTGGTATTTGCCACAGTGGTGTGAGGGTTAGTACATCATTGAGTTCTCCTTTTAGCTCACAGGGAAGAAACTTTCTGGAAGATGCCTGCATTTCTTCATGCTAATGATTACCATCTCATAGTAATCTCCTCTCAACAGTGTTAGGATTGTTGGCTTTCATATTATCCAAGCTCATTTAAATTTCAAATATTCTCTTTCTTTTTAGAATATTCTTACAAGCTCTGTTTTAATGACACCAGTATCAGAAGATGAAGACAATGTTCTCAAAGCATTTACAGCACCTAAAAACAGGTCCCTGGTGAGTCCCTTGCAGGTAATTATTATTCCATCACTGGTGTCTTAAAATTCATTCACTGAAAAACTGTTATATTATTGTTGTTTTTAACATATTAGACATATAGGAGTGGTATCTTAAAGTGACATCTAATGTCTAGAAAATCTCTTCTAATTTTTGGTACTACTCATATGAGACAGGCTGGAAATTTTCATGAGAGCTGGTCCCCCAAGCATGATGAAGGAAAACATTTTTTACTGTGACTAAGATCATGGATCACCCTTGGGTCAGTATCTCCTTCCTCTTGAAAATATTTTTTTTTTAAATGTCTACATAGTTTACTTTTTGTTTCAAAATTCTTGTTTTCTATGCTCTATCACTAGACAATCAAAGCTCTGAGATTGGTTAGATTTAAAATGAAATGTGAAGTTATCTAGACAGAAAATAATTGCAATGTATTTGACCATCAGAATAAAAAAAGCAACTGTCAATGCTTGTGACTAATCCATGATGGACCATCTGCTCTCAGGTTTTAATATCAAAGGAGATTTTCCTTATAACCCTGAAGTAGATGTGTGTTGAGAATATACAACAAATTCCCAAACTAATCCGAAGCCAAATGTAAATAAGAATGCAAATTTGCTCCCACACATTATTTAAAGCAGTTCCCAACATTAACAAGCCAGCTGTAGGGTCCTCCCATCAGTCCTCCTGTGCTACTCAGAGGAAAACCCCCTCACTCTCCTGCAGATGGAGATTCAGAAGGGGAAAGTCATATTTGATGCTGTAGGTTGCAAGCACTGTAGCTGGAGTGGCCTGGTCCCTTATAGAACTTTTTTTGTCATAGTGCTGGGCCTTCATATTCCAACTTGTGAGCATCTTAAAACTCCCTTCTTAAGTATTTGTGACACTTCGAATTATTTTTTWAAATATGAAAATACAGCTAGAAAGGTTGTAGGCACATTTGTTTTTAATTCAGCGAGATCACTTTCTTGTGGCCCCTCTCAGATACCATGTACTTTGGTAAAAGGTGTCTCGGGGCTGGAGTGTGGGACAGGGAGTGTCAGAACATGTGGACAGTCAGAAGTTCCAAGTGAGTCAGGCTTGGGCAGGCCTTCTGYGGAGAGGATTCAGCATATCACACAGAATTGAGAGGTGAGAAAATAAACACCATTGGGATGTTAGAGGGGCACTGAAAAGGGATTAGAGGCTTGTCTGGGCAAAGTGGCAGCCATTTCAAAATTTTACCTAGACCTGATCCTGGGTCTACAAGAGAAACCCTTTCTTTGTTTTTCTTTGGTCCTTGGTATCCAGAGCATGGAATTTGACTGATGCTATTAGTATTTTAGTTAGATTAAGAGATGAACTTAATAGTTAAGTTTTATGCATATTTTGTAACCTAGCCTGGGACACAACCTGTATTTGTAGTAGTAGAGAAAAAATGCATTTTAAGCTGATTATGATGGCACATATCTATAATCTCCCAGCTACTCCTGAAACCTAGGCAGGAGGATTGCAAATTCAAGGCCAGCCTCAGCAACTTAGTGAGACTCTGTCTAAAAAAAAACAAAACAAAACAAAAAAAAGCCTCGGAATTTCCAATACCACAAAAACAAAATTATAAGAGAAAAATGCATTCTGTGTGTCAAACAGCAAGCATGTAAGTATATCTGGGAACAGTAATCATTACCTAAATTGAAAAACCCTGATTATTTTTCTAACATAGAATCCTAATAACTTTTGGCCGATCCAAACACTGTTTAGGCAAAAAACATTCACAATCGAATATGATGCTGATATAAAATATATGTTATATAAAATATATATTATGAGTAATAATGTCAATATTTATTAAAATAGTTTGATATTTTTTGCCACAGGACTTTTAATGTTATTTAAAATTTTAGTATGGGAATATATTAACATTTAAATTTTATTTAATGAAATATTGGTTATCTTTGAAACTCAAAATTGAGTAGCAGCTCTATTTTGTTAACTTGTGTTTTCTAGTACACAGTGGGTTCTATTTGCACACATTCTAATATCTGAATGCTGAAACTAAGTCCTGTATGTACATTCCATGGTGAAGGTGGTATTTGTCACTTCCAACAACTGAATAATTGAGACATAACAGTCAGTGCTTCTATATATACTGTATGGTTTACTTATTTACATTGATCAAATATTTTCAATAGTCTGCTATAACAGATAACTCAATTTGTTTTATGTCATGGAGCCTAGCTTCTGATACTACAGAAATGTGTGATTTCTAAAATGTTTCAAACTTTTGGGCTAAACACTGGAAGTTGTATCAAGCAGTTCTAACTATTGAAACACTTACTACCAATATTTCATATAATCTTGATTCAAAATATTATATAATAATTCCCTCTATTCAAGGAGTATGTTTTTCCAAGACTCCTGGGCGTGCCTGAAACAATGGATAGTGCCAAATCCTATACACTCTGATTTTTCTCCACACACACACACACACACACACACATACTCACACACAGATGATAATTTATAAGTTAGGCATAATAATAGATTAATAACAATAAAATAGGAGAAGTATAACAGTATACTGTAATAACAGTTATTTAAAAATCATGAATTTTTTTTCTGGATTTTCTGTTTAATAATTTCAGACCATGGTTGACCCTATGTAACTGAAATTACAGAAAGCAAAACCAAGAATGGGGGGAAACCACTGTTTGTGTTTTCATGCATTTTGGTGATTTGCTTGTTTAAAACATAATGCCATTCCATATATTTCCACTGATAATCCAATTTGACCTAATAATGCACAGTTCTCACACATGGTGTTTTTGAAGACATTTTGCATTCATTAAATGAGCTGGCTGTTAACTTAAGAGTACTCCATACAGTCTATAACTTTTGTAATTCGTACTTATGTCAAATACTAACTGGAATTTTGAACAAGCCATCCAGATATTTTTGTCATAGCAATACTTTTAATTGAAACAAAGTATGATTCCCCAAATATTTTAAAATTTGAATACCTCTAAAATGTAAAATATTTGCCACTTATAGTGCAGTAGGTTTTACATCTTATTTTCCAAATAACTTTGCTTAGGCACAAGAACAGTTTATTTTAGACTATAGTAACTGGAATTCTGTGCTCTGTCATTCGAGTTTTAATCATCCTTGCCTAATTATGCCAATAAGGTTTTTGATAGAGCAATTAGTAAACTTTTTAAGACCCGTACACTAGATCTTTATGGTTTTGCTTCTAATATATATAAGAATACACATGTTTATAAATTTGTATAAGTTACATCTGATATTTTAAAATTAGAAATGCAGATTGGCTGGAGATGTAGCTCAGTGGTGGAGTACTTACCTAATGTGTGAAAGGCCCTGGGTTCAATCCCCAGCACCACCAAAAAAATGGAAGCAAAGCAATGAAAGAAGCTGTGAGTTTTGTTATGATATGCTGTGTTCCTAACAATTATTAACATTTACCTTTATCAAAAGTCTTTAATGAAGTATTTTAAATTCCAGATAATATAACATTCTATTCTTATGTACTTGCAGAGAATATCTAAATATAGAGCACCTTTATAAACAACCTAATACTATTATCACACATTATTAACAATAATTTATATTCTAATTCCTAGGGCATATTTAAATTTTCTTATCAATCAAAAAAATGATATTTGCTTGTATGATCAAAATTGAAACAACTTCACACATTGCATTTGGTTTTTAGGTCTCTTAAATGTCTTCTAATTGCTAGCCCAGTGCTTTCCAAAAGAAACTCTGCAGTGATAGAAATGTCTAATATGCTGCTGTCCAGTTTGATAGCCACTAGTCATATGTACTTATAATGTGACTTGTATCACTGGAGAACAGAATTTTCGATTTTATTTATTTTAAGTGACTTTAATAACCACATTTCCTCATTCTCTTCTTGGAATCAGCCATTTCCCCCAAGGTGCTCTGAGTCATTTCAGTGGGAAATTGTATGCAGAGATCAAAATCAGGGTGCTAAGTATGACCATGGTTATGTGGATTGTCATTGACACACAATGAATAATAACTCAGAACTTTCCATATGTCCCCTGATCTAAAATCTGTATGTAGATTAAATTAGTTAACTTAAATAAGTAGAGGCTTAAATAGAGGTTGTTATGCACAATCCTGTTATGTTTGTTTTTTAACTTGTTCTCTCAAACACTTGTGACACCCTGGGCTATGTGATACTTAATCTTTTTCCAAAGAATTTGTGGTAGCTGCACAATCCTAATTGTATTTCTCTGTTTTTAAAGATGCCTTGATTTTAAACTATAAAAGCAAACAGTGGCTGGGATGTATCTTAGTGGTAGAGCACTTACCTAATATGCTTGAGGTCCTAGGTTTGATTCCCAGCATTGAAGAAAAACAAAAATCAAACTGTATACTTAAAGTAAAATGTTCTGAGACATTTTTGATATTYCTTTTTCTTACATGGTTCATTGTATTTGAGATTTTCACATTGTGCCATTGCCAGTACTCAGCCTTTCTCTCAAATTGTGTAAGGTAGAGATGGAATCTAGAATCTTATAAAATGCTCACAAATGTGAGGTAGTAGCAAAAATATTCAGCTTATAAAGCTTGCAATTTGGAGTAGGAAAGACAAATTCACTGTGAAATTCCACTGGATTCTACCATTCAGAAATTACCCTGAGAGATACTGAGGCAGACATGCAGAGACTGCCTATTTTCCTCAATATGCTTTCAATTTGTTGTACATGTTGAAATAAATACATTATGCTAATAAATATTTCTTAAGGTAGACATTTTTTGGTAGATCCAAAATTTTATAAGTTATAACCTCTGAACTTCTGTATTTTTCTCTTAAATTATAATTTCCTTTTATTCCTATTTAAAACTCAAGTGTAAAAGATATGTTCATATGCTTTTTACTCACTCACTTTCCTCTTTTTTGTAACCACAGAATGACAGCCTTAAATTTTAATTTCCTGACTTGGCTTGTCATGGCCTCACTTTTTTTAAAACAGTGAWTTTAATTT